TATATTTTTCCCTTGACATAAGATTTTATTCTCAAAAATGAGAATAAAATCTTACAAAAAGAATGAAATCATTCAAATTATATTGTTGTGAATTCACTTTTGTTCCCATTCCAAGTTAAGGAATGTTTTCGCCCGCCAGCAACATTTCAACTTATTACGGATTTTTCGCCACATATTGAAATTGTACCCTTCTAAAAAAAAATTGTTTTGTTTGTTTCTCATAAAACTACCATTAAATAAACGACTTTGAAATTGTGTTTTTTCTGATGAAATAACTTCACACTAATATATATATATATTAGGACTCTATTTTGATTTATTTTATTCCTTTTTTATGTAATTGGCACACTAATACAACTATGATATTTTCTGCATCATATTATGACTCTATTCTTAAGTTTTTTTTTTTTTTTTTTGCAATGAATGTTCCTCCTCTTGGTCTTGCACTTTTATTCCCGTAAAATATGTTTGCCAGCATATTATAATTTTATGATTTCAAAAATCAATAATATATTCTTTGACTTGAACATCTTTATATTCTTGCCGTAAAACGACCGTCCTACTTTACGGTCAACACATGTCATGTATTAAACGTATCACCAGTCTGAACGTATTAAAAAGAAACCTTGCCAACGTTGTTTTAGCCACCTCGGCACATCTGCCAGAGCGCATTTTATCTATTGTCCCGCCGTAATGTCTTGACGTATTCATGTTCATCACTGGACAGGTCAAGCAACGTGCCGATTAGAATAATGCTTGAAGCTCTGCGTCCCATCGCAATCACGTCCAAATAATATGGCGCGAGCGGCGACAAAGTTCAACGTCATCACAACTCCTCGCTTCCAACACGAGAGCTACGCGTTGTCCCCGTCATACGGTCCTAATTCAACAACCGCCCAGATCTTTGACTTTTTCGTCAACGTGTTAGCCTTCTTTGCTCTTTTAGTCAGCAAAGTTTGAGATGCGGACAAAAGAATTCAGGGTGGAGAACAACATCCATTTAGAATCGGTGACATGGTGACATGTCAAAGCATCATTGAGAAAAGAACCATTAGGAGAGGCTCGAACTATTTGGGAAGCAGCGTGTCGAAATTGAGAAAGCTTTGTGTACTTTCTACAAACACAGACGCAGACTTTCCACTCTTTGCTTTGGCATCCTATGCGTCCACGTCTCTCTTTTTCTTATTTTTGTCGGTCACGGCTCAGGAAAAGGAAAATCTCAGGGAAGAAGCCTGAGCAAACAGCCCGAGCTAAACGCAGGTACACATCAGTGACGTTGGCTTTAATTGTGTCGGCTGCGACGTCGACACCGATGGAGCACATGGCCGGGAAGCGGCGGTGATCTTCAAAAGCCGGGCAAATTGCCTGCTGAATGCATAACAGCCTCGGCCAAGACACACAGAAGACACGTACTCAGCGCAGTAGCGGCGCAGCGGTGGCGGCAGGCTTTCTGCCATTTCAACAACGTGAGGGCCAGTTCTGAGCCTTCACGTTGGCCTCGAGCACATCTTTGCATCTCTACCGGGGTGCAGCAACCACACAAGCATTTAGAAAAGTTTGGAATCAACTATGATGGATCCCAAAAATCCCAATACACGAGGTCCCAGAGTGACAAACATATGTAAAAATGAATAAACGCTGACTCATGTCTATAAATGTCAAAAATGTTCATAAAATACCTTGCTTTTATCATGTGCGCCACATCATACTCAACAGTAGTGCAGTTCCCCTTTCTGCCGCGACCCATGCTGAGTGGCGTCGCTAGATACGCGCATCTGCAACACTCGTCTACGACGAGAACAAAAGGAAGACGAATCCATCAGCTCGCCGGCCACCATGAAGCACCGCAGCACAGAAGAAGAAGAAGGAAGACCACTCAGGCCACCGAATCCAAAAATCATTCCGATGCAAACTCTGCCGATCACTGGGGCTGGATCGATTATTCGGCAGAAATGTAGACCAGGCTGGCCCACGAATAATGAAGACCCGCGTATCCTTGACTCCCACTGAAAGGCATTGGGAAAAAAAAAATCCTCATGCGTTCGCCGATATATTTTTTTTAATCGGACGATTGATTGGGGCGGCCCTGTAGTCCAGTGGTTAGTGTGTCAACCTCACAACGCAGAGGTGCAGGGTTCAATTCCGGGTTTTCTCCGGGTACTCCAGTTTCCTCCCACATTCCAAAAACATGATTGAAAACTCCCGAGTTGTGAGTGTGAGCGCGGATGGTTGTTCATCTCTGTGTGGCCTGCGATTGACTGGCAACCGGTTCAGGGTGTCCCCGCGCCTACTGCCCGAAGACAGCCGCGATAGGCTCCGGCAACCCCGCGACCCTTGTGAGGATAAAGCGGATCGGAAAATGGATGGATGGATGGACCTGAGCGATTGATCAGTGCCTAATATTACGAATTGTCCATATTTTGTGACAGAACGATTAATTAGTAATCAGCATTTTTTTTTTCCTGCTTAAAACTGCCATCGGCATCGGCCTCAAAAAATCCGAATCAGTCGGGCCCTACCTGTCATCAACAATAACTTCTCCCTGCTCCTCCTCTGTCTCCACATGGACTTTGCTCCAAAGGTAAGTTACAAAACAAAACTGCATACTGTGGCGCTTGTTGACATACTGTAATTCCTCCATGGAATTAAAAATTTGAGGAGTGTGTTTGGGACGGCGTGGTTTGTGGAAGGCAGACTTCCAGTTGACTTCCTGTTTTTGGCAAGTGACACCTTTTCGTCTTCTTTTCTTCGCCATCACACTACAACATACATCTATTTCTTTTTGTGACCTCAAATGGCAATTACTGTATATTCAATTCAATTCAATTCAATTTAGATTAAGTATTCAGGGTCCATTTTAAAAAGACAGACTCAAAGAAAAATTCAACAGTTGCACACTGAAAAGACATGCATACCAGTGCAGTGTTTCCGCATGTTTGAATGGCATGGGAATGCACTAAATAAATCCAATGTCTGTGAATGACATCAAGATTTCATTTTAAGACTTTGCCTTCTGGCCTACAAATAAACCTGTCCATTGCAAAGTGTTCACTGGCGCATAGATAAACATCTCAGTCGCACCTGCAGTCAATGCATGCTGGCTCTTTTGTAAAGATGCCCAGCGGCAGGCTGTCCACAGAGGTGGACAAGAAGATTTCAACAGAGTCAACTCCACATCACCAGCGCATGAACCAAACTTGCACATCTGTGGATTAGCCTGAGCATACAACATTCTATAATACCATCATCATCTGCCTGGCTGGCAGTGGTGATGTGTCCAAGATATTCCACTTTATCAATGACACATTCAGCACTGCATTTGACGGAGAGTTCATGTGCTTTTCCTCCTTATTCCTACAGATGATATGCACGCTCTCAATCGCAGAGTCGTACTTGATGCCATCGTGCTCAGCATATAGCCGGCACATATGTGAAAAAGCTGCTGTCGGCGTCGGTAGTGCTGGAACTGTGTGATGCACGACAAAATTTCCAGCCGGGCAACCAGTTTTACATCATCTCAGCCTTGTGGAGAGTCCATATACAGGTTGAATACAATTGGGGACAGAATTCCACCCCAGCCTGATACTAAAGGGGGCAGACACTTAAACTGCATAGTTTATCAAGCGTACAATGTATTTGGGAACACTTTCGGTCTCAGTTGCATAAGAAGCTTTCTGTCCAATGCTAAGAAAAACATAAAAAGGAATGAATTTTGTCTCTTGTATTTTGGAATGATCTCTTTTCGTGCATCAATTCACATCTGTGCCCATCATTGCCTTCAAGCCAAAATGTTTATCAGTAGATTTGATCAATTGTGACATCGGTGCTGGCCAGGGCGATAGGTCTATAATTGTAAAAATTGGTTAACCTTTCCAGTTTTACCCTTGATGACAGAGAGCAATAACACAGTCAGGTCAGAATCAATGACGGAGGAAAGCTGTGACAAAGATGGAAAGTAAAGGTGCAAACCTTGCGCTCGCAAACTTCAAATGTTCAGCGGTAACAACAATTAACAACAATTCAGCTAACTAACAACCTCTCGGAAATAATTGCGTTCTTATTTCGGGGACGCCCAGTGATACAGCGGTGCTTAAGAAGACATTTGTTAAAACAAAAATAATAAATACATGAGAAAAAGGACCTTGAAAAAAAAAATCGCAACATTGAGGGGGGAAAAAAAAACCCTGTGGTCTGAACTTGCTAGAATATTGTTGTCTTTATTTTTGGTGTTTCGTTTTCAATAATATTTGCTTTTATTTTAGCATAAACTAACCAAGAACACCAACATATTTAAGGATAAGATTAATACAGATTAATTAATTGCATGTAAAAAAAAAAAAACACATGGGAAGAAGACTTTGAAAAAAATAATCATACGCTATTAAAATTTTCCAATTCGCTCAAGGCCGACTGCCGGTATACCATGCAACCCAATTTGCGTGTCTGACTGTGTTGTACGAATGGCAACAGGTGGATACACAAATTCATTCTGCCTTCCACAGTCTATAAATGAAAGAACATATAATTTTTATACAGGTCCCATCTTGCAAAGATTGATGAACAACGATAGAAGATGATATTTAGGGATCAATTAAGTTGTTTAAATTGAATGACTCTCTGTAGCAAACCTGAGGATCTCTTTGTCTCACGGTACACAAACGTGCAACCATACATTCCCGGTTTACCGTTGCGTTTCAAGTTTTGCAGTCATTTTAAACTGCACTAATGTTTAGATTGTAGAGCGGCGCGAGAGGTTTACAATATGAGAAACAACCAGATGATGTGACTAAATTTATCTTTTGCTCCTCATGAAGGCTATCCCTAATTAAGTGTCCAGCGAGTATTTTGCACTCTTGCTGTCCCTCACCCTGATGTTTTCCATCTGTCAGGGATGTGCATCAAGTGAAAGCAGCCCTGGCAGGCGACATCAACATCACATTATTCTACCAAGCAGATTGCTTGTCAGAGTATAGGGGGGTGGGGGGGGGGGTTGTTCTTACCAGGCAGAAAGTGCAGAGCAGAGAGATGAGAAGCAAATCCAGATTGTGGAGCAGCGCAGTGGAGCCCATCACTGAGCTGCTGCAGTCACTTCTTCCACGGAGTCCTCGCCGGGTTCTTCCAAAAGATGCTGATGATGCTTGGATTTCAATTATTTAATCTACGCTTCAAAGTGGAGTGTGTGCTGGGTTTGTTTTTTTCACTCCATCTGCCGACTGATGCTGTTTATGCTCTGTAATCCAGCCGGTCTTTTAATTTCCTATCATCTGAACGCTTATAGGCTCAGCAGTGCTCACTTTATTCACCCCCACCCCATCCACACACTTTTTTTTTTTTTGCATGTGTGTCTTTCAAACCCCCCTTCCCTCTCTTTCTCGTGAAATTACATCCACATGTCAGCACTATTTATGTCGCTCTGCCTTCTGCGGTGGGAAGTTCAAATGAGTCTTTGTAGGGGGAAGAGAAAAACCGACGCTGTATTTTTAGGTCGTTTTTAGAAAAAAATTCCCCCTCAGACTTGGAGCCATGACGCTTTATTCCAGCCACGTCTTCCAAAAGAAACGTAGAGTCAAATTAACAATAGTGCCAGGTTGTTGGAGGGAGGGGGGGCTGTTGGAGGTGGTGTCACTCAAGGTGGTCACCATCGGCGGTGCCGGCTTGGTTCCCCATTGCTAAAAACAACAACACTTTTCTCAATAATTACCACTTTAACTCTTCAATTTGCGAGGCGTCATCGCGTCCTCCACGTGTGGCAGAATGTATAACAATCCTCTCGAAAGAGAAGTCTCAATTTACATCCGCCTAAAAACAGAGAACAGAAAGAAAAAGGGAGAACGAACCCCCCAAAAAAAGAAAAACAACGCCGTGGTGTGCGCCTAAGAAACGCGCACGAATAAAAGTAAGTTTCTGGCTCCAGACGTGTCAGACAAGCTTGCTCGCTTGCAAGGCTCGCTCGGCACTCGCGAGTGACGATACTTTGTGGGCATGGAAAAGGGGAGGACGAGGAGGGAAGCGGGGAGGAAGGCAGAGGAGGCAGGTAGCAGCCGCTCATTGGCTTCCGCTGTTGAACGCCGGAGTTAAAACCACGACTCACGAGGTGACATATTTTCTCAGCCCCTCAAACAAACTGTACATTCAACACTTTGGCCCAGCCCTGGCCAACCGCCTCGCCCCCTTCAGCCTCTCAAAGGGTGCATCTTGTAACTCTGAATTACAGAGACAGAATGCAGAGCCCCTATTTCGAGCAATATCTTGATTAGGAATTGGAATTTTAACATCAAGACGTCGTGACTTATTTGCTGAGGAAAAACAGAAAAAAAGAAAATAAAATCAAATATTGGCAACGTAGGTCAAAACTGATATAACAGCTGTCATGTTAACCTGCCAACATATAATAAATTGGCTCTGAGGAACGTTTGCAGTAGACTACAGGGAATGCCATGAAAGATTGATCTATTCTACAGTATGATTAGTATTAGGGAAAACATATGACATCACAGTACAGAAGGCTCAGGTAAAGACCAATTATGACTCGAACCCAGAAAACAGCTGAGCGACTTTGCATTTATACAGCAAATGGCAAAATGGCTGCCCTCTGAGATGGACAAAAACGTCTGGATTTTACTCCTTAACTCATATTCCACATATGTTATATTAACTAGACTTCCGTGTTTAGACTTGTGGAGGCATATAGAACATTCTTGTCAAGAAATATTTGACTTGACTTGCCCTTTACCGAAAATGAGCTGTACAGAGTCGTGTTTTGCCAATTTGGTACAATGTAGTGAGACAAAAATTGAAAGCAGCTATAGTTTGACACTGAGAATTAAAAAGGAACTAACTTTTTTTTTTTTCTAGGCCAATAATTTTACACGGCAAGCCCAACCTGCATTAAATCCTTTTCAAATGTTGGTTTCAGACTTGGAGCATTCAGCAGGCCCATTCAATATTTCTGTTAGAATTTTGTCGTGAATCAGTTGTGATTTTCAATTAATCATATGAAGCAGTTGAGGCAAACCGGAGTGCAATACTTGGCTGCATCCAGCATAGGCGCTGTTTAGCCAGTCCCCTCCATTGTGGTTGAAAGAAATATGGTGTCAGCCCATGGGAAGTTGGGCTACATCCACAGACAGTCGCCATCGCTCTTAAAAAGAGAAAAAAGAGAATCATGCAATGATATAGTAATTCCAGATTCAGGTGCAACTTATTCAAATATTTAGGTTTGCAATTGCTACATCTATTTGTTTCACCAGCTAACCAACTTGATTCAGCAGGTTCGAACAAGTCAAAAATGAAAAATAAACTCATTTCAAATACCAATCTTGTGAGCAATGCAAAAGAAAACACAATTTGCCTCCACAAAGTGCGCAGTATTACTGTATAATAATAATGATCCAAATGGAGAAATATGGATGCACCCTGTAAAATTGATTTTTGTGATTAAATAGTGATATGTTTATGTATTATGTAATGCATGGCTGAACTGGAATGAAAAATAAAATTTGCCTGTGGCATTTTTGGCTTGGACCAGTTCCCTCATAATTAGCGAAGCACAACTGACTGACTAATGCTTGGAGAAGTTCCATCTCATTTAATTGGGTTTTATCAATTCAGCTCTGCTTACTACATAAGGTTACATATTTATTTGTTGATGCTAATCAGAAAAGGCACATAGTCATGCATAAAAGCAACCAAAAAGAAAGGGCTGGAGTTGGCTTCAAGCATGATTATGGCAAAATGCATAATAACAGCATCATGTGTAGAAAAATGTTAGATTTTGTCTTTAGGCTTATTATAAATTTACTGTTACTTATTATTTCAGAATCATGTCAAATAACCATTGTTGAAAGCAAATAAGTGAATTAAATCGATGCGCGGAGCACGCAAAGCTCATCATGGCGAAATCATAACGGCCTCTGGTGGAGTCCATGCGTGGGATTGACATACGCAAACTACATTTAAGGAACACTCTCTCTACCACAAGACACTTGGCTGATTATCAGCCGATTTTTTTTGCATCCTTAATTAGCAGTTGAACATGATTTGGGGATGGCGTATTGCTGTTTTGATATTGGTGACAACAGTTTGCGACAGTGATACAAACTGGCCCTAACCACGAGTCAAGAGATGAGTTAAGACAGCCGCCATTATTAAAAATAAATATAATAATAGGAAAAAAAAAGGAATCTAAGGCATTGATGTCCATGTATTTTTGGTATGCAAAGGTTTATTTTGAAGTTCGCCTTCTCTCTGGCATGGTTCTGTTTGTGACCACCAGATGGCACTGTAAGGGCTCCGCCTGCAGCTGCACACCTGTTGGTCGTTGTGTCATTAGTTGTTTAAAAGGACTCCCGGCACGACCACTCAGTGTCGGGTCATTGTTTCTGTCACTGTTAGTTTTTTGCTTCAGCCATGGTTTTTGTTTGTTAATTTGGAGTCTTTCTGTTTCTATGACTTTGTTTGTTTGTTTGGATTTATTTTCCTCAGTATTTTGTTAATACAACTTGTCAACTTCCCCCTGCTCCTCCTTCATGCCTGCTTTTTGGGGTCCTCCACCACCACGCATCGTGACACTCTCAGCGTGTTACCGTCATGCATCGTCCTCTCGACCGCTCCCAACCACTGGCGTCTTTGCTGTTTTCCCATCGAGAATGGCTTTACTATTCTGAATGGAGCCCCTCGAGTGGCCAGTGGCCCCCTATGCAGCTTAGTCTGCTCATAGGCTGGTGTTGACCTCGACAACCTTTCCACTTTCTCAAGAGAAAATTCACTGCCCAAAATGTCTGTACTTGGACTGCCCTGTGTCAAGTTTTCAAATCTTGTTGCACTTCACTCATGTGGATTGTGGTAAATGTGAAGAGAAAGTTGAGTCGTTGCTTGGAATTGAAGCGGATTTACATGGGACAGGCGATGTGAGCCGATCTCTTTTTCACCAATGGACCCGACAGCTTCTTGTTTGCTTTCAAATTTAGCTTGTATAGTGCTTAACATTGCATGAGTGTCTGTGTCTTATGTGTTGTGTTGTATTATTTTGTTATTTTATGTTAACTGTTCTGTTGATAGTGGTGCGGGTACATGCAGCGGCTCCTCTCTCCGTGGTTGCACTGTGGTTGAGAGGAAAGAAATTTCATCTGTGCTGTATGTTGCACAAGGCGGCCCGGTAGTCCAGTGGTTAGCGCGTCGACTTCACAGTGCAGAGGTACCAGGTTCAATTCCAGCTCTGGTCGCCCTGTGTGGAGTTTGCATGTTCTCCCTGGGCCTGCGTGGGTTTTAAGATAAGACAACCTTTGTTTGTCCCACACTACGGATATTTTAAATTTGTTTTCTCCGGGTACTCCGGTTTCTTCCCACGTTCCAATAACATGCATGGCAGCCTGATTTAACACTCTAAATTGTCCCTAGGTGTGAGTGTGGGTGTGGATGGTTGTTCGTCTCTGTGTGCCCTGCGATTGGCTGGCAACCGATTCAGGGTGTCCCCCGCCTACTGCCCGAAGACAGCTGGGATAGGCTCCTGCCCCCGCCGCGACCCTAGTGAGGATCAAGCGGTTCGGAAAATGAATGAATGAATGTTGCACATCGAGCATATTTGACAATAAAGTTGACTTGACTTGATAATACTTTGCACTTACTGTGAAGCCTGCAAGCTAAAACTTTGCAGGAGATAAATATAAGTACTCAAACACAGACTGCAAATACCCTTCGAAACCAGAAGCAGTTGGACAATAGTGAAGTCACATATTGCTGGCATGAACCTTCAAAGCTCCACTTTGAACTAATCCACCCATTAGTAACCAAAAGCAAACTGGATTTGATCACATTCAAAACATTGCTAGTCGGCCCATTTCTCTCTCTTTCACGGAACAACAGAGGGTTCTGTGCTAATGCACACTTTTATATCTGCCATAATAATTACTTCAAGTCATCTTTCTGATCTTCCCTAAATCATGCAGAATTCATCAGCTTGTCTGCTAACAAAGCCCGGAAAGGCAAGAGTACATTACACCAATTTTACAGGTTGTGCATTAGCACTCTGTGTGTTTCAGGATTGATTTCTAAAGATCTAAGGCATTCATCTATAAAACCCTTTTTGGTCCTGGCTTATATGCTTTTAGCATATCAACACTGGGGGACCCTAAGGTGCTTCAGGACCAGCCTTTCAGTAGATTAAAACAAACAAACAACAAAATAACACAGCGAGGTCAAGTCTATGAACCTTGCCTGAAGAGCGGCCTCCCTAAGGAGCTCAGGGCCGTAGAAGCCTTTGAAAGGAGGTTCAAGTCCCACCTTTTCATTTTAGCTTTTAAATGATTACGACTAATATTGATATTTTCATTTATATATATTTTTTCATTTATATTTTTCACACAATATACATGACACAAGTGAAAACCCATTTTGCTGTATTTATTCTTTTATTGACTTTAGTCCCACCCTGCCTTCTTATCCATGAGTTTTTCCATACTTTGCTTTTCCTTTTCATTTCTTTTTTTAACCACGTGTTCCAATGTGTCGTCACTGGGTGGACGTCGGCAGAGGCAGCTGTGATCGGCTCTGACCACGGAGGGCGCAGCTGTGGATAAGGTCCAGTTTTTGGCGAGCAGGGGACTCTTGACCTCAGTCTTTTGCTTGTGGTCCAGACTCCTCTTAATGCCCGAGGCATAACATTATCCATGTTATTTATTTGAATCATCTTTCTGTAACTGCTTTCATACAGCAATGATAAATTAAGATAAGATATCCTTTATTTGTCCCACAATGGGGAAATTTACAGTCCACAGCAGCAAAATAATGGGTAGAAAGAAGAAAGAAGAAAAGAAAACAAACACCGTTCAATGAAGTGCAATATAAATACAGATATGGATAAGGTTGCAGTGCTATTTACAATTGTCTTCCACATCATTTTATTTTTTATTCAGCAGCCTGACAGCAGTCGGTAGGAACGAGCGGCGGTATCTCTCCTTCTTGCAGCGCGGGTGTAACAGTCTCTGGCTGAAGGAGCTACCTAGCGCTGTCAGGGTGGGCTGGAGGGGGTGGGAGGGACTGTCCATCATAGCTTGTAGCTTAGTTAGCATCCTCCTGTTGCCCACCTCCTCCAGAGTGTCTAGGGAGCAGCCCAGGACAGAACTGGCCTTCCCGACCAGTCGCTCCAACCTCTTTCTGTCCCGGGCCGAGATGCTGCCTGACCAGCAGACAATGCCATAATGGATGGCCGAGGCCACCACCGAGTTATAGAAAGTCTAACTACATGTGAATTGTGTTTTTGTTTCTGTAGTTCAGTTGAACTAGTATAAATGTGTTGTCTACAGATCTGTTGGCTCTGCAGGAACTGCTGCAGGTTCAGGAGAGGGGTGGTGACTTGAGGTGGGGCAGAACCAGGCGCTCAAAGAACTTGATGACTATTTCATGCAACACAAAAGATTTATATAAATCAAGTGCTGCTGACAATATTTATCTGTTTCCTGTCATGATGAATCATTGATCAATTTTAGTGAGAAATCATGATCAGGTTCTTCACAGAGATGATCACCATTAAGTATTCACAATGACGTATAATTCAAGACGATTTAACCCTTTCCTGCACCCTGTAACCTGATAACTGATAAGCTGTCCACTGTAGTAACTGCTGTCCCTGAAAGGGTTAAGCACAATTGTTTCCTAAATGTGTATCAAACTGGGAGCCATTGGCTTTTGGGAGTACCATAGCGCCCAGTTTCACAAAGGCCGCTGCCCTTCTGAATTAGGACAATAGATATGGTAAAAGGAAGACCCTTTTTTCCCTCTTTTGTCAAAAGTCTGTTACTCTTCTCTTTAATGATAGATAGCTAGGTAGCTAGATAGATGATTTCAACGATCAATGCATGAATCTTCATGAACGTATTCCGGCACAGCTAGCAAGTGTTGATTTAGATTAGCATCATTTAACCTCATATTGTTAAGGTCCGGTACAAACCGGTAAGAAGTGGATCCCACAAACATAGACAAGGATAAAGATAATAAGAAAAAGTTTCATTATAGAAAAGCGCAATACTGACAAAGTACAACAAAGGTCGCTGGTAACTAAGAGCCAGGATAAAACGTGTAGAATAAAGCGCTTCCAAACGGCCTGGAGAATAACCAACGCCAAATCGCTTGTCATAAAAACACAAGGTAATTCAATTAAGAGAAACCAAAATGAGCAAGATAAACAAAGTAACATAAACATTACTTGCATCAGGAAAGTCATTATGTGAACAGGAGGATGAGCAAGAATGTCTAGATATCAAACACT